GACGTTTAAATTAAGTGACGTGAAAATTTTGTTAAAAAATTCCTTGGAACGAGTAACTGCAGATAACTGGCAAAGATGTATACATCATGTACAAAAAGAAGAGGAGAAAATGTGGGAACTCGATAATTTAATTGACGTTACTGTGGAACCTATCGTTATCAATCTAGGAGACGAAGATAATTCATCAGAATATTCAGAGGATGAATTTTAATATACCTACTTTTTTATTTTCTTTATTGTACATTTATACAACACTACATTTACTCACCATAATTTGAATTTTCAAAATACATATATTTTTGTGTGGAATAAAAGTCTATTCATTAAATTTAAATAAATATTTTGATAATAATATTGAATAATTTTATTTGAATTACTAAAAACCCTCTTAACCCGGTTATGATGCTTAAAGTAGCCTCATGTTTTGAAATGCTGTTTTTATATTGTTTACTTATAAGAGAAATGGACCGAGAAATTGAAGCGGCATAGACAAAGACGGATTGTCGGGGATTAAATTTTAGCTACCTGCTACAATTTAGTACAGTCCGATCGCACAAAGTTTTTTTAAAAGTACACCTCATCTACACGGATAATACATAATATAAAAATATTGAATATAAGCACCAGTACTACATTTATTTACGATTTGCATACATAATAAGCTTTTATTACTCTCTTTCATTTCTAAACAGACTATAGTGACTTATGACTTATAACTCACTAGTGAGTTATAGGCCACATTATTCCTTTAAAACCAAAGAAATTATAGTATCATTATAAATAATTAAAAATAACTATTTGTGCCTACGAATATCAGTTCAAGTGAAAACCTCACTTCCAGGAACAGCTTGTATACTTCAACACTTAAAAACGCGTGGATCTTCGGTCTTGTACATTTGTTTTAAGAACACCTTATTTTTTGTAGTAAAAAATAATTAGTGGGTATACATTTATTATTATTTTTTAATATAACAAAAACATAACCGCCCTTGTAAAAATTTAATAAATGTATAGTGTGTGTATATTGATAATCATCATGAAGCTAAATATTATAACTAGGATAACATGCCTTAGACAAACAATACTATTACACCAACGTCAATCAAGTTGTACTTGTGGAACAAACAACCGTAATTCGATTATTATTTTCAAACGCGTCTTAAATACTTCACAGTACCTCTTCAAAATGACAACGACAAAGCTGCTGGTGTTTTTCATCATTTGTAGATCAATATATGGTTTTAAAACTCACTTTACCAATCGATGCGACGAAACACGCGGAGAATTTTTAAAACGATGCATTGTTGAAGTAACTGATTATTTCTTTACAGAAAATACTGACATAACGATTTTCGCATCACCAAATGCACAGAAATCGTTTTCATCTGCAGGAGATATTCCCAGGTTATTTAAAAGTAACACACTTCAAGCGGTAGTAGCACTGTCAGTTGGTGAAGTTTCTTATGGTTTCAAAACTTACGAACGTAAATGCAACTATATTATTGAGACTAAAAATCAAACGGAGCTGAACGATGTAATTGAAATGTTAAGCAGTCTCCCATCCTGGAATCCTCGTGCTGAATTTCTCATAGTTTGTGTAGAAGTTGTCGAAAAACCTCACGCTGTCGCGCTCAATCTGAGTGAAGTACTGTGGAGGAAAGGCATTGTTAAAATAGCGGTTTTGATGCCTGTAGCAAATGATCAGTATCAAATATACTCGAGGAACCCCTTCAAGACACCAAGACATAGTCTGAATACATCACCATTAGGCCATTGCCGCTTAGGTACGTATCACGGCAAGACGCCTTGGTCTGGACCTCCCCTAGAGGAATGCAGCAACAATTGCACCCTCAAGGTGCACTACGTAGACTGGCCTCCTTTAGTTTTAAATGCGAAGATGGGTTTGCAGCCATCGAACTACGAACTCAGCCAAGGATTCGACATGAATATACTTAATATAATAGCAAATAAGTTAAACCTAACCGTGTTTTACAACACAACCGGCATTCTCTGGGGGAAAATTTACGAGAACGGCACGACGGAGGGAAGCTTTGAACTATTACTGAGAAACACCGTAGACATTTTGATAGGTGGTTACTCGAAAACAGCGGAGAGGATAAAATACTTCGACATCACGGATTCCCACATAGAAGTTTTCCAGGAGTGGTGCGTATCCAACACACCTGTAATGGTGGGGATTCGAAACATTAGCAATATTTTTCGTATAGAGGTATGGATTGCGGTAGTTGCAGTATATTTTTTAGTCGCTACTTGCATTTATCTATCAGGTAGACATAACCAGCATGAATTTGGAACTTACAGAAATATTGGTAACACGTTGCTGACTAGCTTTCGAGTGTTTCTAGGAATGACAGTACATGCGCTACCAAGAGGTACAGGTACCCGCTATTTCATAAGTCTATTAACAATATTTGGATTTTATCTAACTCTGTATTACTCTGGATACCTCACCAGCATCATTTCAGCTCCCAAATACGTACAAAAATATAACACCTTGAAAGACATCTACGACTACGATCTTAAAACCTACTTCATGCCCGACGACGCCAAGTGGATTCTGCACGATAACAGCATTACTAGCATAGTCCCCAGCGAACTGATAAGGAAGAGATGGAGGAATTGCCGCAATATGTCGTGGTGTTTTGAAATTGTCGCCACATCGGAAGCCACATCTTTTTATACGGACAACCTCCATAAGGATTACTTTCTTGCATCGCATAGCCGTTCCATGCATTGCATAAGGTACAACAAGATCGGTACTCCAGTTGGTATAGTCTTAAGGAAGGGTTTCCCGTTCTACACTCAATTTAATTTGATCATAAATCGCATATTCGAGGCCGGAATTATACTGAAATGGAGAAGGGATATATTTAAACCCAAAATATCGGCTCTTAGTAAGGGCGACACCGATTCAAGCATAAAGTTTAAGAACCTCAAACCCATTTTCAAATTTCTCCTAGTGAGTAGTTGCATCTCGTTGGTCGTGTTCCTGATCGAAGTCGTGGTACATAAATTAAATTTTTAACCACTGTTAAGTGCTTTTAAAAATGTCAATTGCTATAACAACAAATAACTGCGAATAACTGCATCTGTTTTAGACCGACACAAATATGATTGCGCTTCTGAGTCAGTCAGAGCAGCGCGAAATTGAGAAAGAACGCACTCAGCTAGAAAGAACAAGTCGCAGGAGCGACTTACACTCGTTTTGTCTTAACTATGTAACCAATTAAAAATATATATGTAGGATGTGCAAAAAACTTCTTCTAACTGCAATGTTCAATAAAGCAAAAAACAAGCAAGTATTCGTATTTGTCCATAGACCACGTAGACTGGCTGTATCTAATTCCAATGCACGGGTACCAGTGAATGCAAGTTGCAGGGAAATAGAGTGTGCGAGGTAATCTGACCGCGCATACTTTGAACAGGTCCGGATTGAGCAATATTTTTACACTTATTTACACAAAAATTCATTTTTCAAGTCTGGAATTCAGAAAATAATATATTTTAATGTATTGCTTATATTAAATAAACCTACAAAATAATTTAAATATTCTTATTGTCCTTTACTTTATCGTGTTTAACTTCATCTACTCGTGTCAAAATTTCCAGTCAATTCGGTAGTCATAAATAATTACATTGAATTTACGTGAGAATATAACAGTCTTGCTCTTGGAGATGTTTAGACTGAGGTAATTTGACACGCACCAGTGAGTTAATTTTTCCAAATTCATTTGCAAACAGTCACAATACAATCATCTTTTGATTCGATAGCCGAGCCCAATGAGCTCAAATCATTGATAAAAATAGAAAAAAAGCATTGGGCTTAGGTTCGAGCCTTGTGGAACTCCTGATGTAGACACGTAGGTGTTGGATTTGAATTGATTGATTGACGTAACATATCGAGTGCGATTTGACACATAAGAAGCGAATAATTTAATTAAAGACGCAGAAAAACCATGTCTCTCCAACTTCACCAACAGTAGCTTATGGTCAACTCTGTCGAATGTTTTCGAAAAATTAGTGTACACCACATCTATCTGTTCTTGCTGGTCGATAATATTAGATAAATATTGAGTAAAACAAATCAAGTTCGTATTAGTAGAGCGCTTATTCATAAAACCATGCTAGTCTATAGAAACAAATGAACGAATAAGAGGATAGATGCGGTTATACAAAGATATCTCGAAAACTTTGGCGAAATTGCAAAGTAAAGTTATAGGTCCATAATTAATTATGTGAGCAGAATCACCATTCTTTAATATAGGACAGACACTGGCAGATTTCCATAGATCGGAAAATATATTAAGTTTAACAGAAAGATTAAAAATTATAGCAAGAGGGCGAGATAACGGCGGCACAGTCTCATCGTAAAACTGGGGAAACCATCAGGACCACAAGTCAATTTGTTTAAATATAATCGCAAATGAGTAAATTGATCAAAATGCCCAATATTGAATGAAAATGTACTCAATGAATTCACTCCGAACCTTTATTGCCATTCAACAAACTCTCTTCGCTCTACGTGGGCAGTAGGCTTCAGTTCTTGAAAATCTTTCTTGAGAATACGCTGTAGAGAGCTTCTTGAAATTCCAATTCTCGATCACGGTGCAGACGTACTGCTTCGACGTTTTGTGTTGAATGACTTGAAGGACGGACAGAGTGTTTAAGACCACTAATTTATCCAGTCTTCAGTCTCCCTGTATTTTAATCACTATTCCGATCATATTTTGTACGAAAATTACGAATTGTAACTGCCAAACCTGCCATTATTATTAAAGTATTGCTCAACAATGCAAAACACTTTACCCCAAAAAATAAATAAATTATCTTAAAAAAAAATAAAACAAGAGATACTTTTAGAGACAGACCAGTAACTTCTGAAGGAACTAAATTACACCCATTATTTACTGAACACCATGTACAGAAGAGAACAATTTCCCAACCACATTATTACCCATATGAACCTTAACATTTAGCTATTACACTAAGTACTAGCACTTCGATAATTTTTCATTTTGTTATTAATTTAATGTACAATTTAATTAAAGTAAAATGTATTAACTCTAACAGAATATCGATTTGTTATCCATTAGTGGTTCCGGCATTGTTATAAAATAGCGTAGTGCAGCTTAAAAATTGTGCCATGTCGCATATTTCGTTCATACAATCAGTAGCAAACGTTTTTGGCGTAATGCCTGTTTTCGATTTCAAAACACAGAAACTGTCTCGTCAGAGACTGTATAAGATTTATGGCCTACTCTTTACAGTGGCGCTTACGGCAGAGACAATCGTCTCTGTTGTCTCACGCCATAAGTATCTGATAATATACAGATCTCCTATGATGCACTTCTTGCAATCAGTGGCGGAAATAACGGAGCTGATTTTTTTTATAATAACAACTTTGGGGACGTCTGTGTGGAGCATGCAACCATGGGAGCAACTATTAAAGTTAATGTCTGACATGGATGTTGATGTAGCCTACTCAAACGAGCATCTTATGACAACTTCTTTTGCCCTCATTATATCAGGAAGTATACACGTAGCTATTGTTATAACTTACATTGTTTTTCGTGTGGGTCTCATGAAGTCTGAATATTACCTTACCTTTGTCTTATTTTACTATGCTAAAACCATTTTATTTAGCTTAATGTACAACATCATCAGTTTCCTCGGGAATAAGTTTGGAAATATCAACGCAACTCTTGTTGAGATCAACAGCTGTACTATAATTAAGTCAGATACATTTAAGAGAATTCGACAAATCGAAAGAACGTACATAGAGTGCGGCAAAATTATTGAAATGTGGAATAAAATATTTGGTTGGCCTCTGTTGTTGACCTTTGCCCATATACTTGCACGTATGTTGCTGTGCTTGGCTTCGCTTACTGAACGTGGCTTAGAAGGTCTGAAGGAATTCAACAGTTCTTTAGTGTGGGAGATTATTTTTATAAATTTTTGCTTCACTGCCATGGCACTGGTAGGTATTTTTTTTGAAATAGCAACAGTACATTTTTAATATCTGGCACTCTAATAAGCGTTGTAAATTGACTTGACTATTTTATTTTGGTCCAATTAATGACTTACAAGCAAAGCTCTTGCTCTTTAGATAATAAAAAATAAAAAAAATGTATTGCCATTATCAAAATTATTCCTATATTATCCATGTGTACTTTTTATCCGTCACTGTATGTTAAATTGATGTAATGGTAATAGTCCAACCAAAATACAATTGGAGAAAAAAAAATTGTTACCTGGATTGATTTTATAAGTGGAAATGGTAAAAGGGCTTATAGTAAACCTAAAAAAATAAATGCCTGAGGGGTGGCGGAGGGTTGATTTGGGGGGTTGAAAAGTTGTGAAAAATTGTATCATTGGGATTTCTGGCGAAAGTTGATGTCAAACAAAAAAGTATCCATTACAAAAGTTGTAGATCAAGCAAAAATCTACAACTTTTGTAGAGGTTACTTTTTACGATATCCTCGAAAGATGGCCTCTCGAAGATGAAACGTCGGATTGCAAAAATGTTGACGCCATTGTATAGAGCGAAAAAAGTGGCATTATAAATATGCAATTTATTTTAAAATTCGTTCTCAAATAAAGCCAGAAAAAAATTTCGGGTTTTTCCCGATATCTCCGGAACTATCGGGAATTTTAAAACTTTCTAAACGGCATATTGTTAAGTAGGTATAAAAAACACACCTTTTTTCTAATCTGAGCCACCCCGTATCTCTTACCGTTTCCTAGATCCTAATGGTGTCCCATACTTATCTTGGACACACTGTATATCTATGAATTCATCAAAATTTTTAAAAAATAAGTACACTAATCGATCCTACGAAAAAAAAAAAAATATTTATTTTATTATTCATTATTCGACTTATGTTTATAGCAATACTGTACAAAAATAAAGTTTTGGGTCAAACAATGGGACAGTTTTTTTGGTATTTTTTCCATACAATTGAATGGTGTAATCAGTTTTTGATTTTTTTTTAATTTAAACAAATTATCAACAATTACTGAAAAATTCATTGTTGCGTCATTTTTTTTTTTGTATTTTTTTAGCATGTTTTTAAACTGACTATAGATTTTTTTAATTCACGAAAAATTATATGTCAAAACGAAAAAAATGATCACCTGCTGAACTTTGTACAATGATATTCGTAAGTAGAATTTTTCTTGGAAAAAAAAGTGTTTCAGACGGGAAAAAATGAATATTTCGGAAACTTCTTGATTTTTTTATCTAAAAAAAATTGTGGTTATTTAAGACACAGAAAGGTACCTATACTTTCATTAAGTTTCGTCAAAATTAAATTATTTTTGCGGAAATAAGAAATAAAAAACGAAAAATAAGAAAAAACCTGTTTTTCGCATTTTTCTCGGATATTTCGAGGTTATCTTAAAAAGTGACCTCTACGAAAGTTGTAGATTTTTGTATGATCTACAACTTTTGTAGGATACTTTTTTGTTTGACGTCAACTTTCGCCAGAAATCCCAATGATACAATTTTTCGCATCTTTTCGACCCCCCAAATTAACCCTCCGCCACCCTGCTCACGCATTTATTTATTATTATTTTTTTTTTTTTTCGTTTATTATAAGCCCCTCTACCATTTTCACTTATAAAAGTCCAAGTAACAATTTTCTTTTTTTTTCCCACTAAATGAGTTATTTCGATCGGTCTATAACAAATGAAATAACCAAACACAACGTTTCCATTGAACTGGAACATTTTTTTTAGTACGGACCAATAATTATCATTTTTAAATGCGAGGCAACAGTCCAGGAAGCGATTAAACTGCTGAAAAATTGTCACAGATTACAAGAAGCGTACTCGTTGCTACATAAAGAAAAGGAGCAGCTAAAGTTATTACAAGATCTCATCCAAAACAGGAGCCCGATTTTTATGGCAGCAAATTTTTTTGAAATAAAACGACCCCTTCTACTATCACTAATTAGTACTACTACCACCTACATGATTGTTATATTACAATTTAATATTATGTAATTGTACGAAACACATTAATAA